GTTAAAAAATAAGAAGAGCATCCCATGCCTGGAGCAGTACCAGGATGATGCGCAGTGGAAAAGTCGCAGGCCAGCGGGGTTCTGGCTCAGGACTGGGCAGTGGCAGCCAGGCTCCTGCAAGGCGAAGGGACTAAAAGTGCTCTCTGTCGATGTGGAGGCCAGAACCAGGCTCAGTGCTTTAAGGGCCAAGCAAAGGCCGCTGAACAACATGATTTCTGACCTCTCAGTGCAAAATATGGCTTTATCAGAGTCTGTGGACCTGGAGAGTCTGGAAAGCCACAGCCTCAAGTAGGAAGTGAATGAGATTCTTGCTGCTTGGTAACCAGATCTGTAATAGTCTCATTGTTCCCACAGGATAAGAACTACAAATAAGACCTGGTTCTGCACTTAATGCCATGAGTCCAGATGGTAGTAACCACAAAACCACTAGGGAAGAACAGAAGGAGGGAGGGAGGGAATAAGGGAGGGGAAAGAAATCTGCTATCAGCCTAATTATGGTTCCTTCATTGGTCATCTCCTTTTCTTCCTTTCCCTTGATATCCTGCAGTTTCACTTGAAAGGACTTGGGTATAAATTTAACTTTGTTTATTTTGTTCAGTACTCATAGCACACTTTTAGCCTAAAGAATCACATACTGTTTTTAGAATATTCACTTAAATATTTCTTCCTTACCAGTTCACTGTTCTCTTTTTCAGGAACTCCTACTGACTGTTGGAACTTCACAATCTCTTTTTCCATATCCCTTTACTGCTCTGTCTCTCTACCTATCATCTATCTAATCTCTCTAAATTACATTTTTGGTCAGTTTTTCATGACTACTTTCTAATTCACAAATTTTCTCTTTAAATCTATTTATTTCTTAAATTTTTATTTTGATGATCATATTTTTCATTTTTTAAGATTTATAATTCTTTTTTAATATCCTCATGTTCTTGTTTCATGTTTTTATTTCATAATTTCGTGTCCTTTTTTTGAAAGGAAGTTATTCATTCTTTTATCTTTTCAACATCCTAGACATACTTATTTTAAAGTCTTTGTCAGGTTGTTCCTTCCTTAAAGCCAACTGGAATGAATTAATGTTCCAACAGTAGATTTTGCTGCCTATCTTTCTTGGTATTAGATTTTATTTTTTATGTGCTTACAATGTTTGGCCTGTAGGCTCATTTTGAGTAGGAGATTCTTTCTCACTCTCATATTTTAATATAAGGCAAAAACATTAATAAAAACAGAAACCACATACAAATAAAGGGAACCGGCTACCAAGAAGATATTTTATATAAATGTTAGTAAGATTGCATATTATAAACTACAAATAAAGGAAGATAGATGCAATTATTTGTCAGATACTTGGGACCTAGTGCTTACCATGAGACCTTGTATATAGTAGATGCCTCAATTCATAATATAATTAAAGAGACTTGGCTTTGGTTTGTTGAAGACTTCAGCTTGAATTGTTTGAACATAATGAGCAACCGATTTTGAGCTATTCAAATTAAGAATCTCTGAAATGAAATTACATAGATCATATGTGGCATCACAGATGTAAACTATGCAAGAAAATTCTAGTCAAAAATTTAAAATTAGAATCCCAGGTGAAAGTTCTATCTTGTATTTTATTTCTGACCAATAGCATTAAAGAAATGACCCTACTTGGCCTCTTTTTCCTCACTATTCCTTCAACTAATCACTGAATACAGTCCTCATAATTGATGATTGTATAAAAATTTATGCCCCAAACTTTTTGTCAAGATAGACTCTCATAAAATGTCCCACTTGTATAAAATTTAGTGTATCCAATGGTTTCTTAAGTAACTTCCACTGGAGCTAACCTCTGCTTACAGACAGACATTCTTTGTGCTAATGTTCCAGACATCACATGTAGAAGGAAGGAACATGATGATTAGCCAAAAAAACTATAATTATGAGACCTAGTGACTGATAATGTATTCCACTTTTACCTTTGCTAATGTTTTCACAAAACTGGGCTGGGCTCAGTGTTTTTACACTAGAATCTGTAGACATTTATCCACCTAATAAAATAACCACACAATCTGGCGAAATTCTGCATACTTGGCAGCCCTTCCCACCCCAAAGCCTGGAACAGCATTGGCCCAGCAGGTGTGGCTTTCAGAAAGGCCAGAGAGCTAAATTCGGGAAACCTGCCCAGCACCCCACCGGTGGGGGGTGGGGGGTCGGGGGGAGGGGCAGAGCAGTGCGCCTTCCTGAAAGCCATGTTGGTATGATACCCCAGCTTTTTAGCAGCCCAAAGAGCTTTATTTATTCACAACAGATAATGAAAACTACAGTAGCTGAGAAATTGACACTAGAGACCAAAATTACAATAAATTAAATTTCATCTTAATAAGAGATGCCATGTATTTTTAAAGATTTTTTTTGACATTTAGAATATACATCCTACACAGCATTTGACACTATTGAACACATGAGAAACCTACTCTTCCCCTTTTAACCAAAGTAGCCCCTATTTTTCTTAAAGGGTAAGGTAGAGAGAAGAACTCTCAACAATCTGGACCCTAGGAAGGAGAAAAGGAAAACTGTTCTCTTAAATATATTTTTTTCCATAAGATGCTCTTTAACTGCAGGATCCAGTTAGAGAGACCAGACTTCCTGGGCCCTATGGGCCCTACAGTCAGAATCAGCCGCATATATGGAACACTCTCTGTATAAATACTAAGAGAACTTGAATATAAAAAGGTGATTGTAAAACAACACAGCATAGTGAAGCCTTATGCCAAAGATAAAACCATTAACACCAGGGGAAACTGAAGTGGGGAGGGGGACCGGACGGTGCCTGCCAGAGCAGAACCCTGTAAGAGCAGCTGTGTAGACACTTGTCCCATTCAGTTTCCCAGGATGCTGAAAGTGTCACTCGCTGATGGTCGGAGTTCCAGTAAGAATGGACTGTGTGAGTGGCCAGGAGCACTTTCATGCTACCCCTCGTCCTTGAGTGGCTAAGCTTGGGGCAGACAAATGTGTGGATCTTTACAGCTTCCACTTGATCTTACACCTGAGTCATCTTTTATTTATGTCCTCCTATGGCACAGAATAGTTGTGGGCAACACCATTCATCATCCTAATGGGCTCAATTGGAAAGCTCTCAAATCCCCTGGGACATGCCTTGTTCTAAGAAAAGAATTGTTAACGGAGCTTCTTAAACTAGGAATTTGTGTCTTCCCATAAATTGACCTTGTGAGGTTATTTGTGGATCCCAATAGGAAACTGGTCTCCTTAGGCTCCTGCAGCTCCTCAGCCCTCCCCACCCCCACCTCAGCCAGAGGATGTCCTCTGCCAACTCTCGCCAACTCTAAGCCACACAATGAGGCATTCAATAGGAACCATACTTTGAATTTTGAATTTTGATCTCTTCCCGGGCTAGTGATACACCGTATATGATACTCTCTTGTGATTCTGGGCAGTGGCAGTGAGATGACTTTGCCCAACTGCAGCTAATGTAAGTCTCTGAGCATATGTAAGGTAAGCAGCCCAAGCGATGGTGCTTGCAGGTTCGGTGTATTGCATGCATCTTTTAAAGATTTTTTATTGATTTTTTGAGAGAAGGAGGGAGAGAGAGAGAAACATCAATGAGAGAGAAACATCCATTGGCTGCCTCCTGCATGGTCCCCACTGGGGTTTAAGCCTGCAACCCAGGCATGTGCACTGACCAGGCATCAAACTGGCGCCCTCTTCTGGGTGCATGGGTCAATGCTCAACCGCTGAGCCACACCAGCTGGGCTGCATGCATTTCGACTTACGATATTTTCAACTTACTATGGGTTTATCAGGACAGAAGTCGAGAAGCAGCGTATGTTCCTGTCTGCGAACTGTGCTCCTCTGCTTTCCACGGTAGACTCGAATGCTTCGAGTGTGTTTCTTGCTGGATCTGTTTGTTCCAGTGAATTTGTTAGTGTAATTGTGGCATTTAATGAATCAATATATAAACCAAAGAGGCGTGAGGGGGGAAAAGGAGATTATTGTAAAAAAAAGTTTAATTTATATTTTTCTTATTTCCAACTTACATAAAAAATTGGTAATGACCACCTACCCCCATCATATCAGATATAGTGGCTTCAAATGACTGATAAACTCCATCAACTATGTGACCATATTTGTGAGTTACATCCTCTCTTAGTTTTCCTTGACAGTATTGTCTATGGAAAGACATCCATAGCTGTTGGTGTGTTTGTAAATTGGGCTATCTTTTCTCCTTAGACTTAACCTAAGAACCAGTGTCTGATCTAGGTATCAGTGTAACCTGCCTTGATAGAAGTTGTTACTTAGCCCTTCTATTCACCCCTTTAAGCCATGGTAAGCTCTTGTAATGCTCACAGACACATATTTAATTGACCTCATGGAAGAGAAATAGAAAATCTGGACATCATAATTGTTGCCCTTGAAAGTGAGACAATGTGAGTATACAAACATCCTGTCACTTTCTAACATACATTAGAAGTGATTTACAGCCACCCCAAGGTGGACAGACCCTTTATGTGACTATTGGAGGACTTAATAATGACTTGTTGGACATATGGATACACAGGGAAAGACATTTCTATGGGGCTGCTGTACAGGGACCTCTGATTAATGAATTAAGAATTAAGTCATGCTGAATTCATTCCACAAATATGTGTTAAGTGTCAACTGTATACCTACCAGTTGGCCGGTAACTGCTGGGGCCACAATAAGCCACAAAGGCTAGATGCTTGTGACAGAGCTAAGACTTCCAGCCTATGGGAAATGCGGAGATGCCGTTTCCTCACCAGAACCACACTCTCTGAAAGACTCTGACCGGGTGTGTACCTGACCAGTGGGACAGGATGGTATGAGGGGAAAGAAAGCGTTCTCAAGAAATTTACAAGTTCTCGACATCTTACTGGTAGTCTTGCTCAAGTAATTACGCATCAGTTTTTCTTACAGTGTGTGGCGTTTGACAAGGCACTTGCCGAGGCTACAGAATCTCACTGCGGTGTTTTCTCTTCTAGGATATCAATGAGTGTATTCTCGAAAACTATCCCGAGTGTTCCAACCCCAGGTTATTTTACATTATCCCGTACTTCTGTGGACAGCATCCCAGATGCAGGTAAAGACGAAAGCTCATGGCATGCTCATGGGGAGAACAGGGGTACAATCTCTTGTCTCTCAAACTCCTGGAATTCAGTTAATATGGACTGTTAATCTCTGAAGATCTCATTTGAGACTCTGAAAGTCCTGCAAATAAAAAAAATTAACAAGTTCTGACAGAGGCCTTGGGACAACCCCACTGAAATGCCAACCAAAGTCTTTTTTTAGACTGTGTGTTAAGCAGCTGTTGCTACAGAGCCACGAGATAGTAAGGACCAGTGGTGAGCACCAGCCTGCTCCTCCACAGTGACTGCACCCCGTCCACAGCTGTCCTGGCCTGTGTGGCATGTCTAATTGGGTCTGAAACACTGGATGCTCACACCCATACTTTGATAGTATCTCTCATGAGACATACTTGGTAGAAAGAGAGGAAAGTGCTTTCTAGTGATTGCCCTCTTTAGAGAGGGACTTACTCAGATCTAAGGCCCACGTCCTGCATCAGCATTCCCAGGGTACTTGTTAGGAACCCTTATCTCATCACGGTCTCTGGGGGCTGGAGCAGGCCTTTGTAACCATCTCAAAGATGATCCTGTTCTAGTTACAGTTGCCATTCATTGTGCTGGACAAATGTGCAGCCTGGAGAAGAAATAGTGGTGGCAATGAATACCACCTTTGCTTGATGGAAAATAAACCCTGTTATCAGGAGCAGCACTTTTCCCCAGAGAGACAGGAATTGGAAGGTCACTGTGTTCCTGAAGAGATCAGGGGCAGAGAGCTGGTTCCAAGTCACAGCTCAGTCACTGTACTTGTTGCTGCCACATGATTACTACTTCATTGTTATGTGTATTGCTGTGGTGTTGAGTGGACCATAACACAAAAGTTTGTTCATGGTCAGAATTCCTGGGCTAGAAGTGTCAGTGTTCTATGAGATCTGCTCTATAAATGAGATTGGGGGGGGGGGGGGGGGGTTCCTCCTATAATTTCAAAAAACAGTCTTGAACTTTAAAAACAATAATAAGATGATTAGCAGACATGACCCAACCCCTATTCTGAGCCCTATAGAAATACTATGTCAATGAATTTCACATTTCAACACTTCTATCTTTATCTTATTGGTTCTGTTTGGTCCTCATAATAAAAAGCTATTCAAATCACTCCTTGGTCAATGTTTATTAGGGCTAGGACCTAACTCCACGTGCCTGTAGCCTTCTTCCAACAAAGTTCAAGGCCCTGAGCTAGGTGTTACACACTGGTGAGAGGGTTAGCAGTGAGAAGGTGTTGGGGGCAAGGGCAAGGGTGCCGGCCGGAAGGAGCAGGGCAAGCTGCTGGAGGTGCCTACATCAGGGCTGGTCCTTGAAGAAATGGGATGTGGACTTATGCACATGAGGGCGGTGGGTAAAGAGATACACTTTCAGCATGTTGTTGCTGCATCTCCAAAATGAATCTCTGATTTAAAAATGATTGTTCTGTCCATAAAGGGAGCCTGGTGAGTGGGCCCTGGAAAGAGCAAAACTTAACGTGAATGAAAACTTCCTGCTTGTGGGGATCCTCGAAGAGCTGGAAGATGTGCTGCTGTTACTGGAAAGATTTTTACCTCATTACTTCAAGGGTGTGCTCAGTATCTACAAAGACCCAGGTAACTGTAAGCACGTGCTTCCCTGTTTCTAGCATTAGTCACCTTGAAAAGGACTCTGGAAATACAGGAGTGAAGTCGTCTCTTTTGTTAAGGAAGGTAAGTCCCCCTGGCTCGCAAAGCAAGGTTAGAGCCATCAGATACGAATGCCCAAACCTTGAGCCTCAGGTCCAAACATAAAGTCGCCATGTTTTAAAGGTTGATGGTTCCATTTCTCCTGCCTTTGGAATGTGAAATCTGCACTGTGTCCATCAGCCTTGTTGCTGATGAGCATGTTGCTGGGGTGAACTAATGCGTAGGTTTTGCATGTCTGGGGTCCATTGATGGAAACGTGAAGCGGCGAAGGAACCATCGTGCAATGAAGTATCTCTGGCTCTATTTCCAGTTGACAAAAACACTCTGGCGAACAAAATCCTGGCAAATAGAATAGATAGAGCAGCAAATTGAAAATACAATTATGATTTTATCCTGGTGAGTGCAGGGGTTTCCAAATAAAAGCAAGAAAGAGGATGCAGCAAAGCAATTACGAAGGTTGCCCACAGTATCACGATAAATACAATTACTTTCAGAAATCCATTCGCTTTTGTCATTATTATTTTATCCTGAGAGGAAAGACAAATGAGATTGTGTGTTTCCTTCCTATTCTCCTAGGCCTTGCATATTTACTCACTCATCTGTTTATTGTTTCATTCTGTCATCTGAAATGGGAGGCAGCCTTCTGCCTTGGAGAAGTGAGGAGCAGCCAAAAGGCTCTTCAAATAGAGCCCACCGCCTCAAATTCCACAGCCAGGCACCACACCTGGGTCCTTGGCAGGTATCCATGCCCAAGTAAACTGGTCTTTGCCTGGAGGAGCCCTGGATTCTGTTCCATAAGGTGCCCTCCCACACCCAGTGTTGCGCTGGAGGAAGATGGCTGGGGATGCCACCTCTGTCTCCCAGCTCTCTCATCCAGAGATAAATCCCCATGTACCCAGAGGCAGGGACATGACCAACAATCTCAAGGTGTGCCTGCCTGTGTCTCCTCAACAGGAAATGTGGTTTGAAAAACCAGATGCATAATAAACCCTAAATAGTCGGTTTGGGAAATTAGGTCTTCCTTTGCCCTTTTAACAATTTAAAGAATTGAAGGAATTTAAAGAAACCCGATGTGATCAGTTTTTAGTTCTGTAAGACAAGAGAAGCTCTGGTCTTTATGCAAAATGGGATCTTATCCTAAATGAGACTCCTTTGATGAAAAGGTTTACATTATTCTTTGTTATTTTACCTCTTTGGCTTGATCTTGTATGGCACAAGAGCATGCAGGTTGCACGTGTGTGTGTGTGTGTGTGTGTGTGTGTGTGTGTGTGTGTGAAACATAGTACGAGATAAAAGACTGACTGAATCCTGGAGACACCTAGTTGTCAAACAAGATGAATACAGTCTTGTCCCAGCATCTGGGAAGAGTATCAGTGAGCCCACACCACATGTCATCCATCCTGGGATCGGGAAGCGACACTAACTCAGATCCCAGATGCCAAGCTCAGCACATTGCCGGTCAACATCGGGGGTGTGGGCCTGAGGACTTAGATGAGGACATTTTTATCTTTGTTCTTCTTAAACACAAATACACCACAAACAAAAGGCTTATCCCAAAGAGCCCACTTAACTAACTGCTGTTATCAGGTTATATCATCTTGATTTCCCAACTGTTTGCTTCATTTAAATGCACGACTTCTCAGAAACTGTGGGCCTTGGTCCCATGACTGTAGGCATGTTAATTAAAGTAGAACGTATTTCTGAAAATTGAATTACCGTTAGTTTGTTTGCCTTCAGCCACAATCTTTCCACCTATTAATTAAAGATTCTTCCCCCTTTGAGTTTGGGATAGCAGGATATTAATACTCTGAGGCTTCCTCCGAGAGAGAATAAGGGACATCTGATCCCCTGTGTAGTGGGTGAGAGGTTTCTATAAACCCAGGGCCAGCACACACCCAGTTGACACAGTCCAGCTGTACTAGAGGTTAAAATAGTGGAACACATCTATACTGCCTTCTGCACCGCCCTCAGGTGCACCTGCCCACCCCTCCACCCCAACAATGAAGAAATGAGAGGGTCTTCGGGACTCTGGCCTGAATTCAGTTCCTGAATTCTGGTTGTTACATATTTTGAATGTCACCTCAGAATCATTCTTCAGCTGCCATATGTCATATACACAACAAATGAACCTCTGAATGATTCTTCAGTAATTTCCACTGTCTCCTGATCTGTTGGCATCTTCTTGAGAGATTTTTCTATGATGGCATTGAAGGCCAAGCAGCTCCATACTTGCTATGTCCCAAGGACTCTCCACGTCCCCGAGGCAGGGACAGGAGACGACATGCCCTCCTGGCCAGCTTCACAATAGGTTTTAGTTCTGCAAAGACTAAGCACCTGTATTGTTTTCTCGTGGCCACACACCAGGGAGTTGGTGTCAAATCAGTTAAAAGAAGAGCCACAGTGAGGCCTTGGTGCATTTTTAGTCTAAAACCACAGATTTTGGCACACTCGAATCATTGCTCTTGCCCTTTATAAAAGAATTTCTATAACTGAGTAGCCTAGGGAACAAAGGGAAGAAAAGCCAAAAGGTAAGACATTGAGGAACCTCATGACCTTTAAATCCTTGTGGATGACCTGCCCGTGGAGTTGGACTAAGATGCAAACACTCCCCCAGCCGTTCTTCTGTAGTGTATTTCCTGTTAAAAAAAATGCAGGTGTGCTCTGATTTTTACTAATCCCCTTCCAACAACACGAAAAAATATTTATACCAGTCCCGTTGCTAAGAAAAGACATAAATAGCAATGACTATTTGGGAGCTGGTGAAAAAAGTAATGTCTGTCATTCAAATGGGTTGTCACTTATTCCAGATTAGAATGATTTTCATTAATTCTTTCCAATCAGTATGACTTGTTCCAACACCCGCCCTTTAAAGAAATTAATAACTTCTTCTTTAAATAGCAGCTTGCCTGTTTGCCTTCCCCTCTTTATTTCTTGTAGGCAGGTATGCTGACAAGTCAAGTTGTTTCCTACCAAACATATGTATTTGAGACACTTAATTTTTAGAAAATGTTTGTTAGAGTTATTTTATATTAAAGTTTGCATTTGGTAGAGACCTGGTTAGTGTATCTCAGAAGTTTATGATAGTGAGTACTCAAGGTGAAATGAAAGTGAAAGTTTTAGCATGAGGGTAACAAGAGAAGTTGCTGATATTGCTACAAGTGTCTTGGGCGAGTGTTCAGTGAACTCAACCCCACCGGGGTATCAGTCTGAGTTAGGGAGAACTGAGGCCCAAACAGTCTCATTTCTAATTGTTTAAGCTTGATTACATTTGCTCGTGGCTTACCCTTTAAAAATGAGAAACTGAAGCCAGCCCGAAGAATTTGAGAGACTGACCCATAGTCAACCACCAAATTGTGAAAGAGGCAGAACTCATATTTCTGAGCCCTGAGTGTTAACGAGTTCATGTATATTTTTCCTCTTTAGATCTTAAAAACTGGCACACTGTGAGCTATCAATATTTTTCTTAGTCATAATTTCCTTTGGAGCTAAAATCACAGTGGTGTTAAAGGCCAAAATAAATAAACAAATTGAAGACAGAGCATATGTGAATATTTGTGATAGGATCAGTCATTATGTAAACGTCCCTCATAGGAACCTTTGCCTTGGCAAATAACTGAGCTGTTCTAGTTCAATATTGCCATCTAGCATCCAGACATGGAACTCTGTGACCTAATATTAACCCATTACTTTCCATTTGTAGCATGACATTAATATTCATTCTCAGCCCATTTTCATTACAAATGTAAACATTGGAGCCACAGTAGGGACTTACTAGACTTTTGTGAGCCACCCTGAAAATCTGGCCACCAACTATTACAGAGGAAAAATGTGTAATTCCAAACAAATGACTAATTTTGACCATTTAAGTTCATTCATAAAGTGGATGTTTTGTTTTTTAAAATATTTTTACTTAAATATGTTTATAAATAATAATGATAGAGTACAAATTTAAATATTATCCTTTTACTCAGCATGAATGATGCTTAGACCTCCCAACAGGAGTATAATAGTGTACTCTCTGAATTAATTTGCTTTGCAGTATTTAAATCTGAAGACATTGACAGAAAATAATAGCAAATATGTCAGAGAAATTTTAATATAGTATTCTATAGGAAAAATACAGGTTTTCAACTATCAATAAAAATCTTAATAAGTTAAAAAAACACTATGTGATTAAATCTTGGCCTGTGTATCATAAAGAAAAGTCCTTCTTTAAAAAAACAGCAGTGAGTTGGGGGTTAGAAGAGACTTCTAGTCCTCTTTCTGCTACGGGTTCTGCCCATATGACCCTGGCAAGTGTAGCTTTGGGCGGATGATCTCTAAGGTTTGTATTATTATAACACTAAAGTGTCACATCGGATGTTTTAAGGTTGCTTTCGTTTTTAACACAATTATAGGGTGCTTGCCCCACCCGAAAACAAACAAACACCACACAACTTTGAACATTCCCCATTGCCTTACTTATTAATTTCGTTTTAGTTATGGAGACTATCGCCACCTAGAGGACATGACGGAATCCTGGCTAGAGAGTTATTCCTTCAGAATCGGTTTCTCCCTGTAACAAGTGATCAAGACAGGGATCCCAATTCAAAATCTCTGGTCACATTGTCCAGCCCTTTCTCTGCATACCTTATGCATTTTTGTCAAGAAGACAGGATATCATAATGATTAGAGCACAGACTCTCAAGTCGACAGCCTAGGTGCTACAGCTGTTCCTCCACTCAGCACCTGTATAATCAGAGGCAAACTAGAAGCCCTCTAAGCCTGTTTCCCCACCTGTATAATATACATAAACAATACTGTCTACTTCACAGGGCTATTGGGAGATGTATCTGACCAAATCCATGTGAGCCCCTTAGCCCAGAACTTAGCATATGACAAGGATTCAATAATTAGCTATTGGCCTGCCAGTCTCATCAAGGGAGAGA